GTGTCTACATACATGCATGTATCATTAATGTAGAGTCTACATACAATAGCTACCAGACACTTACTTGCATGAACTTCAAGTCCTCTAATAGATATCTCTTTTCTTGTTTAAGGTACAAATGATGTTCTGTTTCAAATAATGCCAATATGATATATAATAGTAAATCCTAATATAATAAGTGGTGTTAATTAGAAAAATCATTTCGAAAAGTTTTTCCCCAACCATTTGGGTAAATATGGATTGATTGCTCGGTCAATTGTAATGAAACCAGTATTTATTCTAACTATCGGGGGACTACTGATTGACTAAGTCTACACATATGCATTGATGTGTTTTTAGATTTTCTAACCGCGTGATACTATTGGAAAGAAGATTTCATGGTCCAATGCTTAGACCATAGGGTAAAACACTATGAAAACACTAAAAAATGTTTATTAGTCATAAAAATTATGAATCGAATACCATATATGAATCAGTCTCCGGTAATTTTGTTATTTTTTTACATCTTATAAATGTGTTTAACCGCACCGAGTGATTCATATATGATGCACCTTTCACACACTTTCTTGTTTAAATATAATTAAGAGTGCTGGTATTTCTTGCAAATAGTCAAATTCTAAAAAGGAACATATTCGAAAAATAATGTCAAACCGTACTATAGTAGTTAGGGAACTAAAGTTAATTAATTAAACGATTTATTGTTCAAAATTGTCAAGCCATTTGTATTGTTTTTCATGACAATAATCACGTAACATGTTGACAAAAAAAGAAAAAAAAACCACGTAACACGTCCCTTTTACTATCAATTTCACACTGTTCAAACAATGAGTTCTATACCTATTATTAATCTTCTAATAAATCGCATGCAAGACTAGTTCTCAAAACTTGAATAGACATACGAAATTAAGTCGGCACTAAACTAAAACTCAACTAAGTGAACATTACAAAATATGAAACATCTGGTTTTCCGGAGGCATATATGCTTTCTTAACCTCACATTTCATCAAATATTAACATATGTATCTCTCAATGCAAAATGTGTTTCTTCTTTCAAAAGTGTTTCTTTCTTAATATTGGTTTCCAGCGGAAATTCAAATAATATACTATCAAATAAATAAAGTAACTAGCAAATCAAAATCAAAAGAAACAAAAAAGTAAATTTCATGGGAGTAGTTAGCTAGACTTAATTTAGATGTGAAGATGCCTTAGAAGTCTAGGCACACAGCTAAGAACAATCCACTAATTAACAACAAACATAAGTAGGCCGACCATACAATAAAAGATTAATTGCGCAAAAATACATATGTTAATCATAAGAAAAATAAAACATGACAGGTCTTGTAATGTAACTCACGAACTCTTTCGACCTGTAAAATGTTTTCAATAACATTATTATAATAATGTTGGAGGGAGAGTCTAATAATGTTGTTGACAATTGACAATTTTTTTCTTTCTCAAATACTTTTTTGTTGGGTATCCTGACATGACTTTCAAATCAATTCAGAATTTCAATCTAAGGCATATATTTTTTTGTTGCTAGATCCTGTTAAAAAATTAGTTTCATCATTGTATAAGTCTGATTGTATAGTATGCCATTCTTATTAGATGACGGATGCAATATTCTGAATGTCTCATATGCATATATTCTGAATCCAAAACATTTTGAACCCAAAAAAGAGTATAACAGAAGAAAGATGATACGTCATCGTTTATATACACAACAAAAGTATCATGAGATTGATAAAAAACATTATTGTCCAACCCTACCTTGAGCCTCACACTAGGCACAAAAAAGCTAGTCCTCAGAATCAGGCACCACTCCGCGGATCGATGTCTTCCTCTCATTGGCTTGGCCAAAGCCATTCCAAGCTTACAATACCACGTAGCAGTTTTGATTTGATTTGCTCAGGCTGTACAACATTAATAATGAAATTTCAAATCTTGAAGGACAACAAAGACCTCTGTATCCAGAGACAAATGAACGACTACTCTCAGTTCCAACTCCGGAGGAAGTAAGATTCTCAATCTTCTCA